AACAATTGTACCTAGCAGCATTCTGCCAATATAAATAAGCAGCATATTAAAAAACATTGCATTCAAAGTTCTACTGCATGCGGATATGAATCAAATAATCAAATACTACAGTGTACCTTTCCATTAAAGCACTTTTCAAATTACAGATGAAGCTGATGAGGTAATTTTTAAGCCATTGACTCCAAAGGCATGGAGCAATTTTCTTTGGTTAAAGCACGTGCCTGGTTCTTCAATATTAACTGCTGCCTATCAAAGCTAATGAAGGATGGTCATTTAGTACTAACTTTTTTGCTGATACCCCATGATTCCCTGCTCTATTGTGGAAAGTGATTCAGTCACTAGCCAAGATATTCTTTGAAGGTCAATTTAAGTTGTTAGAGAGTCTAATTTCTAATATTAGTATAACTAATCTTTACCCAATTTCCTTTTCTAAGCATCCGTTTTAAAGGACACACCCCAAAAACAAAAAGGGTGAAGAAGAGCATCACCAAATACAGAGAGAAGGAGGTTTTTTTTCCTTTTTTTTGGGGGGGGGAGGGGGTGGAAGGGGCATGTTATTCATTCTTGTGAAACGAATCACAGGGGAAAAAAAAACTACTGCACATAGTCAGAAAGACATGATACCGATACTTTCCCTATCTGGCAAAGTAGACAGCGGAATTCATAAAGTTCAAACCTTAATCCAAGAACTGACACCTACAATGCTAAGCGTCACTTCATTATTACAGTAAGAAAGACTGTAACTTTTCGGACTTTGCTGGAAAAAATCACTAACCAGGTAGATTTCCACAGGCCAAACTTTACTCTTTAAAGTTGTAACAGAAAGCAACTGACAATACACAACACTATGTCGCATTCGACAGCTCTAACAAGCCACATTGTCCTAATCTGACAAGAAAGAAGAACAGCTAGCATCTCTACCAGGCTTTCGACCTATGCAACTAGAAATGTGCTTCTCAGAAATGGAGAAGGAGCTTGTCAGAAATGGAAATCGAACAACCTAAATTAGACAGATGTCTACCATGCAATGCAAAATTAGACACAAAATACTGAAATTACCTCAAACTATGGCTTGAATCCCTAACTTCTCGGTTTCCCCAAGCTTAAAGATCTGAACTCCAGCTTTCACCCAAGCTTTGAAGCCCTAATTTCTCATTCCTTGCCACCAAGCCAATGCAACAGCCGAATTAGGGATTTTCATGATACGAGCTCAACAAAGTTACCCGAATGGCTTCGACGGGTTTATCCAAATTGGTGGTGCGAGCTTGAAACAGAGAGAGAGGGCAAAGGGAGAGGACTGATTTTGAAGAGGGGAGAAGATGTCTGAAATAAAGGCGGTACTAATGACGCCAAAGTAAATTAGTCAAGCCTCTTGAATTTTTCAATTTGCCGTGCTAATTTTTGTGTGTTTGGGCAAAATTTTGTTAAAGCTACATAACAACTAAAAATGTTGTTACAACTATATACAATATAATATAACAACTACAAAATAACAACTAAAAATTTTGTTAAAGATATATAACATGAATTAAAGCTGAATTTAATATAACATGAATTTTACATAAATATAACATGAATTACAACATGAATTTTGTTAAAAATATCTTAAATTAAAAATTTTGTGAAGCTAAAAAAAACATGAATTTAATCAAAATGTTTTCGGTACCCAATTTATTTTATGCTACTAGCAATTATGTACGGCTTGTAGTCTAACAAGCCGTTATTTGAATCGAATTAGTTTATGGAACATAAAAATGAACTTGTGAATACATGAACTTTCCACTAATAAACGTTAGGATTAGAATTGATTGAACATATATATATTCAATATTTTCAATTCCAAAGCAATTGTCATTCAACTTTGTGTTTATTATAAGCTATTAAACACTTAGAAGATCTTAAAATTGAACATTTCACTGCAATTACCGTGTAACTTTGCGTTAATTAGAAGTAATTAAACACTTAGAATATTCAACTGACAATCAATTCCAAAGCAATTGTCGTTCAACTTTATGTTAATTAGAAACAATTAAACTAGAGGTGTGCAAAATCGAAAAGAGGGGGAATAGGAAATTTTCGAAATCGGTAAATTGGAAATCGAAATCGAATTCAGGTTTTCCGAATTCATATTATTCGAATTTGGTTCGAATTCGGTAATGGAGTTTTTCAAATCGGAATTTTCGATTTCGAATTCACAATTCGAATTCCGATTTCGATTTCAAATTCGTTTTTAATATATAAATATATTTTTTATACATGTAATATAAAATTTATACTATATAATATTATTCAATGTTTTCAATTCCAAAGCAATTGCCGTGTAACTTTGCGTTAATTAGAAGCAATTAAACACTTAGAATATTCAATGATCTTAAACACTTACAAGATCAGTTAATTAGAAGCTATTAAACACTTACAACATCTTAAATTTGAACTTTCCACTAATAAACATTAGATTAGTGGAAAGTTTGATGGTCAATCCAAAATTTCGACAAAACCGATTAAACTCTCCCAAAGATCAGTTATGGAGTGGGCATATATGCAATAACAATCCAAGTTCGGAATGATCGGTTCGGTCGATTCGACCGGTTCGATTGTGTCTCCAGTCTTGTTCACTGGTTAATCCAAAAATTCAATTAAACCGAACAACCTTCAATCAAATATTAGTTATGGAGTATATATACAGAATATGCAATAACAACGTTTGATCAGTATGATGGGTTTGATCGATTCGATCGTGCTTGACCGGTTCGATCGTGTCTCTAGTCACTTTAATGGTTAATCCAAAATTTCGACTAAACCGATTAAATTCGATCAAACATCAGTTCGACCGGAAATTTACAGAATTTCACTTTTTGAATTGTTATTTTTTAAAAAATAATTTTTCCATTGTATTAAAAAATTATTTAAGAAATTTATCGATTAAAGTTTCAAATTATTTCTATTGATCAAAAATTAGAGAGGGGTGATTGGAAATAAAAAATTGGCCATAATACAATGATTCACTACATTAATATTACAACTTACAATTAATGGAATTGCTTAAAAAATAATGACCAGTATTTATCCAGCCCATTGGGCTCTTAAAATTAGTAATGGGTTGTTTTATGTTTGGTCTAAATTGATTTGCAAAAATTGCATTATATCTTACACTCAAAAGTTTTAAAAACAAAACAAAGAAATGATTATTATAATTATAAAAAATAATAATAACAATTTTGTTAAAACATTTAACGAATCATAATCAAACTTGAAAGTGAATTTGATGGATAGCAATTTCCCATAACACAAAGGCATTTAGAGATTGCACAGAACATTTCAATTGAGACCATGTATGGTGTACGGGCAAGTGCTTGAATAAACACCATGATCTGCAATTCCGCAAATTTGAAACCATATTTGTCCCTTCAAATTTAGTTGCTGTATACAATAATCAAACGAACCAAAACTCACAAGCTTCAAGTAATTCCAGACCAACGAAATGTAGACAAGTAATTGCAGCCAGTAGTAGAGCCTTAGCAATTGAAACATATAACAATTAATAGGGCCAACAAGCTTAGCAACTATAAAAGATACTAAATCAGATTATATTGGGACAAATCAACTTCAATCCCAAGTCCATCCTCACGAACCCAACTAATTTCCTCATTTTCATTCTCAACAACAGGATTTCCAACATCACTTTGCAAATATGTCTCAACATCCATGGTTGTGCCCATGTTATATCCACCTCTTGCAGTGGTAGAGATAACAACTTGCCAATCCTTATCAGTTGGATCTTCCACATAAAAAACTTGTGATGCTTGTGAAGCAAGTATAAATGGCTCAACATGAGGCCTCACATTTGCAAAATTGACTACAGTAAACCCATCAGCATCTTGTTTCATTCTCGAACCATTTGATATCCAATCACATTCGAATAACACCACCCGACGACCTCCGTAAATTAATTCAACAACATTTTTCAAGACGCCGAAGTAAACTAGTTCACTCAAAACTGGATTTTGATCCCTTATACTTGCAAAACTGGATGTTGCTGCATTGACTGTAACACCACTATTCTGCGTTTTTCTTTTCTTCTCAACTTCGTTGGTGTGAAACCGAAATCCATTAACAACGTACTTGTCATGTTGGATTCCAACAACATCTGGACCTTTAGCAAGGAACCTCAAGTATCTCAACACCGAAACATTTTCAGGAAGTTCTAACTTGTCAATCTGTAAAAAAAAAAAAAAAGATGATGAAACTTACTTTGAAGTCCTACAATTCAAATTGTACTTAATATTCAGAATTTTATTTACATGTTCAGCAAACCAACAAGCAAAATTTTCGCCGTGCAAGCGCTCTTTTAGATGCTGTGGAACTTGAGGATGCCCTTCTTCTATCAATCTACGATGCTGCCTAGAAGTACATGAGTCAAAATTGTAATCATACATTGAATTCTACAATAAAATTTTAATGCATCAAGTTGTAGTTGAACTTACTCTATGTAAGGTGTGACAGCATCACAGTTAAATAAAATATACTGATGTGCTTTACTCAAGATATGAGCATCAAAGACTGTTGGCTTGCCCCTCCCCAAAGGATGTCCTGATTCAGAGAATATATCTAAACCCTCTTCAATTTCCTTATGTACTTCTTCATTTCTGCTTAGACGATTGAATTTTGTCTCAACATAGTCCGCAAGATACAACGAGCAAAAGTTTATGCATTCTTCTGCCAAGTAGCCTTGAGCAATCGAACCTTCAGGCTTACTTTTATTTCAAACATAAGATTTTAATGTTCCCAGGTACCTAAAGTATCATCATTCCAAACTCTCTGTTTAATTCCACAAATCAAAGAAAGAAAAAAAGTAATAAACATTTAAGGCATAATTAGAATTACAAGCAGTACCTCTCTACAGGATACATCCAACGATAATATACCGGGCCACCTAATTTCACTTCAGTTGCCAAATGAATAGTTAAATGCACCATGACATCGAAGAATGTTGGTGGAAATCATTTCTCAAGATTGCAGAGTATAACGGAAATTTTACTTTCCAAACGAACCACATCTTGAGGACAAATAACTTTAGAACAAAACTGCCTGAAGTATCTACTCAATCGAATCAAAGGATAGCGCACTGATTTTGGCAAAGTCTTTCTCAAAGCTATAGGCATCAATTGCTGCATTAGGATATGATTATCATGACTTTTAAGCCCCGAAATTCTTGGTGGCTTTACTTGAACGCATCTTGAGACGTTAGTTGCATAACCATCTGGAACTTTCACTTTTTTTAGCACATTGCAAAACATAGTTTTCTGTTTTTTATCCATTGCAAAGGAAGATGGAGGTAAGTAAACCTTTCCAGGTTCTGTCTCAATGGGATGCAACTCTTTTCTTATTCCCATTTCTCTCAAATCACGGCGGGAATTATAATGGTCCTTTGCTTTATCCTCAATATCCAGCAATGTCCCCCAAATATTTTCACAAACATTCTTCTCAATGTGCATGAGTCAAGATTATGTCTTAAGACATTATCTTTCCAATATGGCAAGTCAAAGAAAATACTCCTCTTTTTCCAATTAAAAGGCAATTTCGGATTACCTTTCACAAGTTTTCCAAATTTAATTTGCAAGTCTCCTAATTCAGTCACAATCATATCCCCAGTTTGTAAAGGTGGTCGCTTTCCATATTCTTCGGTGCCATCAAACAATTGGGCTTGCTTTCTAAATTTATGCTTACTATCTAAGAATCTATGATGACCCATATAGCAATGCTTGAAACTATGAGTCAACCGTCGAGCATGAGTGAACTTGTGACAAACAAGACAAGCATATTCACCTTTAGTGCTCCACCCAGATAACATTGCATATCCAGGAAAATCACTAATGATCCACAACAGAGCTGCATGCAATTGAAAATTTTCTTTTTGGGATGCATCATAAGTTTGAATGCCAAAATCTCACAATTCGGTCAATTCTTTAACTAGAGACTGTAGATAAACATCAATATTATTCCCAGGAGAGGATGGTCCGGGTATTAACAAGGACAACATGAAGTACGGTTGCTTCATACACATCCACGGAGGTAAGTTATATGGTATTAAAACCACAGGCCAAGTACTGTGTGTAGAACTCATGTTGTTGAATGGATTAAACCCATCAGATGCCAACCCCAATCTAACATTTCGACAATCCTTAGCAAATTCTGGATGTAGATGGTCAAAAGTTTGCCAAGCTGGAGAATCAGCTAGATGTCTCATACAACCATCTTTTGTACGTTTTTCCTCATGCCATCTCATTTGAGATGCAATTTTAGAAGACATAAATAGTCTTTGTAATCTAGCTTTTAAAGGAAAATGCCACAATACTTTTTGAGGGATTTTTCTTTTTTCACCAGTTGGATCATTTTTTGAAGCAACCCACCTAAGCTCGTTACATGTTTCACATGAAGTTCTTTTTTCAGCATTACCCCAATAAAGAGAACAATCATTAGGACATGCATCGATCTTTTCATAACCCAGCCCCAATGTATTCATCAATTTCTCAGCCTCATAGTAAGAAGAAGGCAAATTAGTCATGGCCTCCGGAAATGCTTCTCTTAACAGCTCAACAAGCATATTAAAAATCTTGTTACTCATCTTACCAAGGCATTTTAGGTGAAGCAAATGAATAATGAAAGACAACTTCGAGAAATTTTTGCAACCACTGTACAGATCCTGTTGAGAATCATTAATCAATTTGTAAAATTTTTCAGCCTCTGAAACAGGAAAGTCCCCTTCTCTATTCAATTCATTTGTTCCATGTGGTATCCCAAATACATCATGGACCAAGTCTTGCATGTCATTAGTCCCATTTGAAACCCCAATTGATGTATTTTCAGAATTAGATGTGGGTTCATAGTAGTTTGAAAGTTCTCCATGTGCTATCCAATTATTATAACCCTTGATAAAGCCTACCACTTTCAAATGATCATATGCTTGCATTTTAGTCACACAAACACCCATGCCGCAATCTTTGCAAGGACACAAAATCAGTCCGTCACAACTTGATCTAGAAAATGCAAAGTTTAGAAACATTTGAAGTCCTGCCTCATACTTTTCACTTGTTCTTGGCAAATCCATCCAACTTTTATCCATACTTTTAATATAAATAAATGTCCTCCAACAAGCTTCCAAGAGCATGAAAACAACAACTACACATTAGTACTTAGAAAAGGCATAGGTTTATGACACGGTTAGACCGCCAGCAGATATTTATGAAGAAAAAGCATTCACCACAGAGAGACAGTGAAATGTGAAAGAAAGAAGAGAATCTATCTAGCCTTTTATTTTATACTCATAATTTTTTTTTGGTCCAAGGATTCTTTTAAGTTGCTATGACTATTCAGCTAATTGATCTAGAAACAGGACTAAATTGAGAAAAAAAAAAAACAGAACCCGTAAGGGTGCTATGTCATCCTGAACTGGGAGGGGTGGAAGTTCGAGTCAATCACACCTACATAATCAAATGGTACACCATTCGATCTCACCCATCTCAATAACGACATAATATTTGTTTGTCTATTCAATAATCTTGCTCAACAACAATCTGAACCTATCTGTCACGGATGCATAACCAGCACATGACCAATGTGCAGTTCAACAAGAAGTCCATTAATTAAGTCCTTAAATATTAATTTTCATCAACCTATTTCTTAAACTTTTGCACTTGTCTTGCAAAAAGGTCATTCCAGTCACCCATTGCTATTTTGATCTTCATCGAAGAGCTTCCAAGTCGATTTCTATTCATAGCCTAAACAGAGCTTCAATTACAACTAAGTTTCATAGATTAACATTAAAAGAGATTCACAGAAAAAATGAAAAACAGGGGGGAATTGACATTTTATCGAACAGGTTATGGGCAACAGCTTCATTGTGTTTACCACTTCAATTTTGGAACAAGATATGCGCACCTGAAGTATCTTCCCGCTTTCTCAATGTAGAGCTCCGTTCTTCAGCTTTTACTCCCTGCCTGCCCTTCCAGATGTCTTAGCCGAGGGATTTAAAGTTGAGGTTAGAAAAGATGAATATGGTTGTTTGCGGAGATAGCTTCGATTGCTACCAACATTCTGGACTGGCCGAGATAGCTTGTATGCTGAGAGGTGAGAGAGATGAGAAGAAGAAAATTTTCACCAAGTCCTTTTGCCGGCAAAATGAAACTTCACAGTACTTCAACAAGTGTTTTGGAGCCAAAATAAAACGATGTCGTTTTCTGTGTTTTTTCGATTTTTTTTTGGTTCATCTCACATTTTCCAGAGAGGGAGTTAAATTGTAGATTTCCAAACCATAGGCAGGTAAAGTGAACATTAGTCAAACCACAGAGAAATTTTTGGTATTTTACCCATTCTCAAATGCACGAAACATTCTTCTTAGGGTATGACTTATAGAGGGGTAATTTTGATATTTTCCTTTCAGACGTTAGTTTAGATGTCTTCCATCAGACTTTTACTTTAGTTGAAATAACAGGGAGTCAAATTGTAAGTTTCCAAACCATAGGGAGGTAAAGTAAACATTAGTCAAATCACAGAGGGGTTTTTGGTATTTAACCCTTTTAACATTCAAGGCTAGAAGTAAGGATAACTCAAAATCCAAATTCATAATTGCCTAATAGTCAAAACATCTGAATGGAATTCTTATGTTTTAGACAAATATGATAGCCTTGATACATAACTAAAGATAGCCCTGATATAAATTTTACAGATATCCCAGCATTAGTATAAGGAAGTTCAAAAGCTTCAGCTAATATGGTCACATGTGGAGCTTTTAAAAGCTTGAACTATTTGCTAACGGGTTCCTGTTAGATTTGTTCGAGTTCGAAAAATGCTCAATCTCAAATTGAGTTCAAACATAATATTAGGCTCGTTTAATAATCGAGTGGAACACGAACTTACTCACGAACAAATCATCGTCCGAACCAATCGTCCGAAAACAGCAAGTTTGACGTTCGGACGTCCGATGAGTGTTTATCGTTCGACAGTACAGCGTCCGAGCTTAGGCCGAGAGTTGGCAAGTTAATTTGGAATTTCTCGGACGTCCGATGCGGTTGATGTGCGTCCGAACCTTCCGGACGTCCGATGGCTCTTTACGAGCGTCCGACATAGCTTCCTTCTTGATGTTCTTACTTCTTTCGGACGTCCGACAGATTCCTTTCGGCCGTCCGACATGAGTGTCCTGTTTCCTTTTTGATGTTCTTTCTCCTTTCGGACGTCCGACAGTTTCCTTTCGGCCGTCCGACCTGTTTGTCCTGTTTTTGCTTCTCCTTTTGATTGTTTTGCATTTCATGACACATTCGAACCTGATTCTAAACACAAACACTCATATTTGCAGAAAGTTAGATAAACATTTCAAAGTACCAAGAATAACACACTTGACGTACTAACAAGACAGTATCTTTGATTGGAACAAAACAATGACTAAATTCATTCATATTATTTCAATCTTGTTTGCCACATCCAAAGCATCGTAGACTGAAGTCAATTAAACATATGCTTTGTTTCATCAGGCCTGATCAAAGTGTTCACTTTCTTGGTTTGTATAAACAAACTTTTATGATCATCAAAACCAAGAATAACATTCTCCCCCTTTTTGATGATGACAAAACAAAAGTTTGAAATGAAATTGATGATTGTAATGAAAACTCCCCCTGTCTTAGTGAATCCTAAAATTTAAAAATTTTGAAAAACTCCCCCTCACTTGGCTGCCCATCCGAGTTAAACAATTAAGCATTAAACAATTAAGCATATCAGCCAATCCAAATTTAAACAATCAATCCAACATATCCTAACATCACTAATCATCAATCACCAATCATTACTCAATCCAATCATTAACTCCCCCTCACTTGGCTGCCCATCCGAGTTAAACAATTAAGCATTAAACAATCATATTCAATAGACAATCATTATACCATCTCCCCCTTTTTGTCATCACAAAAGGGCAACCAATCACATCAACATCAACATCCCTTTTTGTCATCCACACAGTCACAAATTTACACAAGTTCACAAATCAACATCCTAGTGACACCATCCAACACATCCATCAAAACAGTACTTAAAATAGACAATCATATTCAATAGACAATCATACAATCCACAAATTCACTACATTCACACAAGCAGAATAGACAATCATTCATCAAAATATTTAGACATCCATCAAAACAGTACTTAAACATCCACCAGATCATACCAAAAGAAACTTAAAATATCCATTACAATACATATTCATTGTTGAATACCACAAACACATAAAAGAGACAAACAGAATGCAAATGTCCTAAATGATGAACTAAGTGGATCCAGGAGTCCTCCGAGAGAGCTGATATTGAGAGAGGTCTTCCTCATCAGTTTCTTCATCATCTTCAGCAGCTTCTTCAATTGGTGCCTTGCCTTTTTTCTGATGTGGAAGGGCCATGAGGAGTCACAGGAGTTGATGGATTCGGATCTGGAACTGATGAACCTGGATCAGTGGTTCGAGGTTCTTTGTCATGTGAGACTTCCTCAACCACAGGTGGAGAAAAAAGAAGGTTCTTTTTATCAAGAAAGGCAGCTTGTTGCTCAGAAGACATGGTGAGCATTAGGCCATGTTCTAGAAGAAGAACATGCTGTTTGAGTTCATGAAGAAGCTCAATTACCTCATTACTGGAAGAGGAAGATGCTTTAGTGGCAGACTTCCTAGGGTGAATAGGAGTGAGTGAAATGGGAGAAGGATCATGTACAGTCTTAGACCTCTGTTCACTAGATTGTGCCCCCTTATATGCCCACAAATTATCCTTATAAACAAGATTTTTCCTTTCAAAATATGCCTTGGTAAAGACATAAGAAGATACTTCTTTTGGACAAACACCTAGAGTTGGAACTTTGTAAAACTCAAAAATCTTTTGAAGAAACTTGCCATACGACAATTTTCTGCGAGAATCAGTGGTGTAACGAAGTAAAAATTTGCACATGACAAACCCAAAATCAATGCGAATTTTTTCTCGAAAACAATAAAACAGATACAACTCCATTTTATTTGCATCAGTTCTGTGTCCATCAGTGGGTACAAGTAGGTTTGAAATGATTGAAAAGGCAATAAGATTCACCGGAGCAAGATCATTTAGTTTAGCATCAGTGGGTGAGGAAAAACTTCTTTTGAAATAAGTTAACATTTTTGTCCCATCAAAATGATTAGCAGTAGTAGGGAGCTCTTCATATGAAAAGAAATTAGCAACTTTATCTTTGCATAAACGTTCAATGGTAGTATTTAAAATTGAATTCACAGTATCAGAATCAAAGAGTATGTCTACCCCATTTACCCTGGACATGATCTCAGTTTCATCCGTGCCTTTCCAAAGATTTGCAAAAAATTGATGCAGCATTTTAGGATAGTAGACATTGGGCATAGAGATCAGATGAGACCATTTTTGAAAAGCAAATAGACTCAGAATGGAATCTAAACCTATGGAGCGAAATTCAGAGGGGTTTACAGTTCGTTGAGGAATGATACCCTTCTGGGATATCCAGGAGTATTTTTCTTTCGCCGCATCATCAAAGAAAGTAGGGAGAGTGGCTGATTTTGGAGGCGGTTGAGAAGATGTTCCCTGACCAGATTCAGGCTGAGATGAGGGTTGTGGTGTAGGCCGTGACATTTGACCCTTGATAGCTCCCCTTTTGAAGCGTTTGGATGTCCGTTTGACAGTAGGAAGATCCTTATCTTCATCCCTGAGTGGATGCTTGCGTCCGGCAGTAACTTTTCCTCCTCTAAGATTCACCATTGTGTGAAATGTATGGAATGCAGGATGCAAATGATGCACACAGTAGTAAGGAAGTGAATCGCACAGAAATTTTTGGACAAAACAGGGTTTGAACAAGATTTGTCAGAGCGGTTATAAGAATGTAGGGTTTAGAGGAAAATTTGGGAATTTGTGAAATGATAGATGATTCTGTGAAATGATCAGGAAAAATGACTCGCAATTGATCAGG